CTTCAGCCACACCGAGAATGCTCCGGAACACCCGTCAAGACGCCGCCGGCAGCCAAAATACGATGCTTTTCCTTAAAGGTTCAACGGTTACACTGTGCTTACGCTTCCTGGCATCCGACCGCCCAAGATGCCCCGAGCTGCGACCACAAGGCTTTCACATGGTCCCGAAGAGCCCTCCCCGGAGCTCCGAGTACCCCCAAGCTGTCTTCCAGACGGTCCGAAACAAATCCAAGAAGCCCCCCACAAGCCACCGACGGCCCCCAAACGAACCCTCAGGAGTCCCCAGGACTCTTCCGGAAAGCTCCTAACCTTCCAACGTCGCCAGGACGCCTCCCAGAACCCCCGGGGAGCAAAACAGAGCTCCGAAGGCCCGTCGGCCCTGCCTCATCGTGGCGCCTCTCCAAAGCTTCGCAGACGTGGAAGCAAAAGAAAGCTCCGAGAAGCCCCGACGGCTTCCAAGTGGCTTCCGCCAAGCCGTGAACCCGTCGGCCCCGTCTTATGGCAGCGCATCGGCGCCGGCGCAAGCTGCGGGATCCCAGAGGGTTCCCCAGAAGCTTCTCCGAAGAGCCAAAGGGAGAGCTCCGAAGGCCCAACATTTTCAAGTGTCCTCCACGAAGCCGTGAACCCGTCGGCCCTGTTTTGTCGTGGCGCTTCTGTACCGACGCAAGTTGTGGGGATCCAAAGGGTTCCCCCAAAGTTTTCCAGAAGCAGGAGCAAATGAGAGCTGCGGGAAGCCCCGAAGGCTTCAAGTTGCTTCCACCAAACCGTCAACCCGTTGGCCACGTCTTATCGTCGCGTCTCAGCACCGACGCAAGCTGTGGGAACCCAGAGGGTTCTTCAGAAACTTCTCTGACGTCCCAGGGAGCCCCGAAAAACGCCCAACGCCCCGCCAGAACCCCTGATGCAAAAGAACACCCTCTGACGCGAACCAACAATTTGTTCGCCTTTCTGGCCGCCACCGTGACCCGCCAGAAAGGCGAACAGAAATAAGAGTGGAGGAAGATGGTTGGAGAAATGGAGAAGAATGACGAGAAGGGAAGACGAAAGGCCGATGCGCACTACATTTCTTTGCGTCCACCGCGGTGGGACACGACGTCCGCGCTCCCGCGCTAAGAGGATGAGGGTGGGGGATACGATGTTGTGGCGAAGCGAATTGAGCCAACATTATCTTGCACACAAAAACAAACACACAAACACACATATACACAAACACACACACACAAACCCGCACGCACACACGCGCACACACACACACACTCGCACACACACACAAACACACACACACACACATTTTTTGCGTCGGTGACTGGGCAGAATGTGACTGCTCTGGCAGATTGGCAACAGGGGACACATGATACCGCACCCGTCCAAGTCGCCGACTCGCACTCAAGTTCCCGCCTGGATTTGCCGAGCGGTCAGCACCCTGCGGCCGCGTCGGTCGCGCCAAACTACTTGGCCGCTGCGCGCGCGCATGCGCGGGCTGGCGCGGCCGCAGAGATGCAGCAGCCAGCGCCAAGCACTCATCGCAATCGCCGCCGCATGAGGTTTGCAAACCAAGTTGCGGTGCGTGGGATGTTTGCGCGAGCAGTGAAGTGGACAACTCATTGCTAACATATTTGTTTTTTCACCACGTAGCTTGCACCACACGCCACGCAGGTTGCGCGCCACATAGCCTGCGCCGCGTATCGCAAATCCGATCTATGTACATATATGTATGTATATGTACTTATGCACACTTCAGTATACGTGTATACGCATATCGCTTCACATAGCTTACACCACATAGCTTGCACCACATAGCTTACACGTCCACAGTGCTACAACCTTCTATTTGGGGCTCCCGCTGGCAAACATGATTCGCCCATGCGGTCAAACCTCCGAAGCCATCAGCGTTCGCATACATCTGGGTTCAAGAGCTGCTCTGGTTTCCAGGCCGTTCCTCAGGCTTCGGCCGGGGAGTCTGCTCTTGGCCGGGGCTCGCCGCGGCCAAAAAAAACCTCTCCGTCCCTCTGTGGCGTTCCGGGCTCGACCCAAACAGTGTTCTAACGATCTTTTGGGACCGTTTTCGTTTTGATTCCGTTCTGCAGCAAAGGCGGAACGAAGGCAAAAAGATGGAAAACCACAACAACACGAAAACGGACGACATTGCTTAGGTCGGGCCCTGGTGGTGTTCCTGACGATGGCCCTGGTGGTCGTGCTTTGGTTGCGGGGGCGGCCTCCCAGGGAACCCTCGCCGCCCCAGTCGGGCCCGCCCCGAGGCTCTGGTCGGGCTGTGCCTGCAGGGCTGGGCCAGGGGCCGACGCGCAGGGTCAGAGCCACCAAAGCGAGAGTCCGCTGTCCACTCTTAGGGGAACAAACGATGCCATTCCCTGACAGCTCGTAGAAAACTGAGAGGGTTTCAGATTACGAAGCGGGAGCCGCAGGGTGGCCCTGGAGGTCGTTCCGGCGTCGGTCCGCACACCTCGGCGCGACTCGCTTGACCCTGCAACGTGTCCTGGCAGGCCTTGTCGAAGCGTTTCCCAATACGCGTGCCTGGAAGCTCTCCAGAAGGCCCTTCGGAAGCTCCCTCCAGGTCCTTCCAGAGGTCTTCGCCAGGCCATGTCCACGCCCTTCAGGTGCCCTGCTATACTGGTTTTGGACCCCACAAGTAAACAAACAAAATCTGAGGTCAGCGCGGATTTCTCGTATCCGCGCTGGACCCCCCTGGCGCGTTCCGCGCGCCAGGGAGGGGGGCGGTCGTGTGGCCCCGTTCTGGGCGCCTTTCTCCACGTGCGGGGGGGTGCTGGAGGTTTCGAGGCCCTGGGGGCCCTCTCGACAGCGCGAGAACGGCGGGTGCTTCTGAGCTTGGGCCTCCAGAGAGGTCCGTTTCGGGCCCCCAGGACGCACGACGTACAGTGGGGGCCTATGTCAAGAAACACCCTGCTTGCCTCCAGGGTGCCATGGTTTCTTTTTGGTTTCGATGGCTTTTCTGTGGAAGGCGTGACGTTCCCACACCAAAAGCCAACGGACGTCCGGGGGTCTCAGGGTTGGGTTTCTTGTGGAAGGTTTCTTGTGGTCGAGCCCCTACTGTATCAGTGGAACGGAAACCAGGCAGATATTGGGCTCGAGAGGTATCAACAAATCCAGATTTTCATGGCTCGGCCTTTCATCTTGCAGATCGTACGTTTCCGCTTCGGAGGTCGACACCAGAGAGAGCGTGTTTCATGCGAGTTCTGTTCCACATAATCTTCCCCTCGCTGCCTCGCTAGAGCGGGGACCTCTCCTCGCCTCGAAAATCCGTCCCTCCAGAACCGGCCCCTCCTCTTCGAACCTCTCCGCTGGATATTCGTTTGGGGGGTGAAAACGCCAGCAAATGACGACGACACCGTCGACGAACATGACGATGACGAACATGACGATTCGACGACGACGACGACGACGACGACGACGACGACGACGGCGACTACGACGATACCAACAACGACGACGACGACGACGACGACACCAACACCAATAACTGGCGACGACGACGATGACGACGATGGCGACGACGACGACGACGACGACGACGACGACGACGGCGACGACCGCGGCGACGACGACGACGGCAACGACGGCGGCGGCGAAGACGGCCGAAGATGGACAATGACGACGACGACGACAACGAAATCGACGGCGAAGACGACCGCAGCCCGACGGCAACGACGACGACGCGGTTTGGACATTGAACAAGGCGGGCGGGTCGGGCTGGCGGGACGTTGCAGCGTGCGGGTCGGTCGAGCGTGTGGGACATTCGAGCGGGCAGGCGGGCCTGACATCCAATGTAAGATTCGCTCGTTGACGGGGCGAGGTTGGTGGATAAGGTTCACAGGGAAGCATCGAACAGCCAAGGAAAGCGACGACGTTCACGACGACGCGACGACGGGCGGGCCATGAAGGCGGGCGAGATACCTCGCGTGTTGATACGACATGGCAGGAGGAAGACAAACAAAGGAAAACAACGACGACAATGGGTGTGGCAATGAAGCGGGTGGGCGTGATGGACATTACATGTAAGCCGGGACAATATTCGTCCTCGTCAGCGTCATCGTCGTCAGCGTTCGCGTGAGCGTCGTCGTCAGCGTTGGGGTTCGAACTTCCCCTCCTGAGTTTCAACGTCGCTTTCGGGTGGAAGTGTGGTTAGAGGGTACCAGGGACTTCGTGGGGGCTGGTACCTACTAGGCTAACTAGACCCCCCCACACCCTCTCAAGCGCCCCAGGAGATGCTGATTCGGAAGTCGAGACCTCCGCTCTTGAGGTTGACGCTTGGGAGATCAAAGCCCTGATCACAGATAGCTCTAGATGTTGGGAGATCGTTCTTGAGGTTGAGACCTCCACTCCGCAGGTCGAAACCTCAATTCTGGAGCTTGAAGGGTCCAGAAAGTTGGCGTCTTCGTTCTGGAGGTTGGAACCTTCACTCTGTAGGTCGAGGCCTCCACTTTGGAGCTTGCGATCTCCATTCACCCCCGTCCTGGCGCCTGAAACTTCCGCTCTGACTTTGTGCGTTTTGGGCCCCGTGGCCGCCGCTTCCTCGCTTGACCGCCAGCCTGGGATGTACGCGGCGTAGGTGTTTTTAGACATCCGCACTTCGTTGTACGAAGGTCTACCAGCAGTGGCAGGCAGGCGTTTGTCCTCTTCAGCCAGTGAAGGCGTGTAGCCGAAGAGGTAGTTCTTTCCATTGTCTTGCGAGGAGTCGGACGACCCCATTCCGGACAAGGTGGGTGTGCAGGTGCACCTCAGCAAGACAGAGCGCGGGGCGCTGAAGAAGCTCGAGTGCCAGATGTGCAAGGCCATCCTCAGCGAGATGTACGAGGAGGTGGCTAAGCACGACATGGCCGCCAAGGGCGAGTCGCACATCTGGGAGACGTCCAACGCCATCTGCCTGGCGATGCTCCAGAAGTGGAAGCTCGACCTCAAGCGGCAGGCGCTCGAGCGGAAGCCCGAGGGGGAGGAGGACAGCGACGCCATGGCAAACAGCGGCGACCCGGAGGCGTTCATGCGCTCCATGCTGGTGTTGAAGATGGGGTGCTCCGAGTGGGTCGAGGACTACGGCGGCGAGACCTCCGGGTTCATCTACAAGGCGGTTCGAGACAGGAAGGAGTCCGCCAGCGCCGCCGCCGTGGCGCAGGAGTTCTGCGCCAGCAGCGTCGGCCAGTGCGGCAAGGAGAGCAAGGCGAAGCGCCAGAAGGCCAAGGAGAAAGACCGCGCCAGGCTGAAGGAGAGGGCAGACAAGCTGAGGGTGCAGGAGGAGAAGCTGATCAAG